TCGCAGGCAGTGTTCAATGTGGTGGTCACCGATCTCTGCTGTGATTAATCAAGTTAATGGTGCCAACTTTCATTCAGTAAACGCATATCGCTATAAGTGGTGCCAACAACATCTGCAGCCTTTGCCGTGCACCCTTTTTTGGCGAGGTCTTTGCATATTGCCGATCTTTGAAGTATGACCAAGGTGGCACTGCAAGTTGGATTCAATATGGCGGAGTTGCCGTGCTCCACAACATGGGGTTTGACTCATTACCTTTCTCTTCAATAGTGGAGGTAGTTCCACCCTTTGTCAAGTTAACGGTGCTGACTTTTGCCAGTAAATGTATCTCATTAACTATTAATGCAGATATTTCGTTTCCCTCACACGCACCTCCTTATGCTAATTTCTGTACTCTCTCTCTTTCTCTCTAATGAACACTTTATCGCGGTCATGACTCTGCGCTCTCTTTTTTTCGCCATGGAAATATACCCCCAGATAAACTGCGAACAGGATATGGCCATCCGCTCCATCAGCGTCGTTGTCGAATCACGGGCCGTCTACTTTACTCCATCTGATTAGCTTCACTTTTCGAATTCTCTGGTACTTCGCCCCCATTAGCTGTCACAAAATGGACGTGCATTTGGCTAAATGAAATGGATCCCTTAACTGATTGTACCATCCATGTATTGGCTGCAGTAGAGTAGAAGTCAGATCCTCTTGACCAGCGGTGAATTCCACATTTTCTTTAATTCTTGAGCCTCTCTTGGACTGGTCATTTTGGCACGTACACCTGTTCTCTTCTTCTCTCAGACCCTAGTTACAGTCGTGTTGGGATTAGATGGTCTTCCAGGTTCCACTCTTTTATGCAATGTTGGAAAAATTGAAGAAAAAGAAATGGAAAATCAACCACTTGTTGCTTCCTTGTAATGCCATTTACATGCTTCCACGATCAAAAATTTACTAACCATTTCATTTTAAAAATAATTGTTAAGGAGAAAAATGATTACACATTTCTTTTTACCAAAAAAGATATAAGAAAAAAGAAAGGACTGAATATACTGGGCAGTGATCCCCATTTCATAACTACTTTGTTCGTAAAGCAAAGATGGTGCCTCTATCCGCGTCATTACTAACCCTTGCCACCACCACAATCACTTAAGGCATCAACGGTAGCGGTAAACAAGCATTAAGAGCACCGAGACGAAGGATACGGTGGAGACTTTGGCGAACCTGGTGGCATCGGCTGTTTTCTTTTTACATCAATTAAGCGCTAATTGATTTAATCAAAAATTTGGGGTAATGGGAAGGGTTTTGGCTGAGAGGAGGAAGGACTGCATTAAAATTTAGCACAATGAAGCAGAAACATTTTTGAAAGGGCCTCGGTTGGATTAAAAATCGGGAGTTTTTGCGGCTTTGGTGTGAGTGGAATTCACCATCTCCTCAAAACTGCTTTACTAGAGTGGCGCTCGTAATTAGTCACAGTCATGTATCGATTATTTCGAAATCGATACGCATCTACCGTTGAGTAAATAAAAAATCAATGACGAATCGATTGGTAGGTTGGCTGGATTAGTAATCGGTTGAATGGTTAATATGCTCATCTATTTTTTACATCCTTCACGTATCCATCCATCCGTCCGCCCATTCGGTATCCATCCATCCATTCATTCCTTTTGAACAAATTAATTCCTCTCATATCCATCAAACTAGCCTCCCATCCACCTACTCTGGATCCATTCCTGTACTATCCATTCCTTTTCGATCCATAGATTTACATTCTCTTTCGTACCCATCTATTTACCGATTCCCGAATCGTCCACCTCTGGAAATGCCTAATTTTAAGTTTTTTTACTTATCCTTAAATCTCTCATCTAGCTCAGACCTAACGGACCTGCTCATGCGCCTATTCCTCATCTCCCATCCACTCATCTGATTAATGAAAGTGATTAATCGTCACGTTTTAATCGTAGTACAAGTGGAGACACAAAAGAAATTAATTATTTACACAACAAAAGATGAGTTTGGTGGTAGAGAAGGACATAGCCTATTAATTTGAAATTATTAAGACCCAAGAGCCAATCTTCAATGCATCAGCGTGGAGCAAAACCTCATGGGTCGGTTATTTTACTGTAGACACATGCGAAAACGGCATGAAAGGGTCACTTGCCACCGCTACTGTCTTCCTTCCTCTTCCTGCTCCTCCAGCTAATTACACGGGTCGGAAAGAGGAGGTGGGGGAAGAGACGATGAGGGATGGGGGATATTAGGGCCGCCTAATTACGCTGGGAGAAAGTCCATCAATATGGAAATGCAGTCATTTGATAGCCCAACCATCTCTTCATCTACCTCTCCCTAGCTCACTCTATATTACTCACTACTTCTGTCCCTTTTTTCCTCTCCCTCGCTCTCTGCCTTCGTGTTTGCATTTTGCTTCGAATTCGATCTCCCACGGCTAAAACGATTTAGGCAAATTTTTTTGAACCCGTGAACGTTACTATGGCAGATTTTGGCATAATTCCCGCAAAACTTGCGGTGATGTGGGAAAACAGTGCAAAAATCAGTTATTTATCCAATTAAAAGAGACATCATTTCGTTGCTTCTTTCTTTTATGCTAGTAAATGGCGCAACTTTTCTTACGCTGGGTGTGTTGATCGGAGTTATATATCCGAACCACACAGCCTTCTCCGGTTTGATTGGTGATTATATTCAATCAATCTACTCAACCATTGGTCAAAATTCAACTAATCAGATCGTTGGATTTATAATCATGTCTGGACGTGGCATTACTATTGCGTATTGTCTTCAAAAATGAAGTTGAATCCTTTTTCTAATAAATAGACGTCTTTTTTGTAACTCTGAATATTGTTTTGTTCCTTTTTTTACTTACAGTGAGGTTTTTTAATCTCCCTTGCACCAGACTCTTCACAGGTGACCTCACAACTCAGTCGTTAGCTCCTCAGCGATGTTTTAGGCAATTAACAAATCTTGCTCCAAATGCGAGGATTACTTAACTTTATAAGAAGCACTTCGAGTACTAAACTAATTGTGATGCAGCACAGTATACTCAAGACATTTCCACTGAGGCTTCAAAAGCGACTTGCGTCAAAGAAGCACGTGGTAACACTAAAATAAAGACATTTCCTATTAGTTGTTTTATTCGGCTTAACTCAGTGAATAAAGAAGCGATTCCACAAGTACTTGTCACTTGGACCCTAGATGACTGAGTAGTATATGGTTGCTGTCAGGGGGCACAGCACCGCGAGAGGACACACGATGGCCAAAAATTTGGCTTTCTAAGGTGAAAAAATCTAGTCTCACCTACCTGCGCTTCTACTTCAACCAAATTTTCAACATTTTTTATCTGCTTTGCATGTAATAGAATGCCTGTGGAATGCTGCGACAAAGGCGAAGAAAGAGGAGGGAAATATGGAGGAGGTGGCAGTGTCTTCCTTCTATTTCATCCAAAATGGATGTCTCCTCAACACAAAGTTATGCACGGGGAAGTTTTACTTTTCGTTGTGCAACACCAGATCCATTGAAGAAAATAAAATAGCTAAAATTCTGATGCCAAAATCCACTCATCACTTGACTGCTCGATGTCATAGGCAATTCGCCCCCAAACACACAACCATTGCGTTTCATAGACACCCTCTGTAGGATGAAGGAATGACTTTAAAGTTGCACGAAGAGAAAGGCATTTTTCCAGGCGATGCTTTGCGGTCTAATTGGTGTGCAACAGATGCCGCTTCAACTGCGGGGTAATTAGCTTCTCTAAATGAGCGCTGTCGTTTCGAAATTTTTTAGTCTTTTGTTTTTTTTTTTTGCTTTTCCACAAAATGCAGCTAAATATGAACACCATCCTCAGCTAATCACCTCAAGTAAAGTGGTTACACCATATCTTGTGGAATTTTTATTTAAAACTGTCCAGACTGACGGCCTAAATATGCTGGCCATTTTGAAAGAGGAAAAGTGGTCAAGTTGGCGAAAAATCTTCCCCTCAAGTCAGTAGTAGTTTTTTGGAATATTATTTTAAAAATTTCTGCTTTTAATTAAAGTTAAATTTTTTATTACTGACCGACAGTGGCCATGTTAGTCACCTCCTAGCCTTGCGGTCGTCTGATTGGTTGCCCCACCTCATTTCTCATTGGTCATTTAAAAGCCAAAGGGCGATGCATTTGATAGTCATGCCCACCTGCTAAGGGGTTATAATTCGCCAAAAGCTCAAACATTATTTTAAGTAGACTTATTAGCTCTATTTAGCTTACTAACTAGTCTACTTGTCAAATGACTGACTGCCACGGTGGTGGGACGGACTCCCAACACGTAGACTTTCAGCTGTATTCCGTACAAAGGTCACCACCTCCGATTTCCGTAAGCCTTTTCAAGTGGTAATTTATGAGCTACGAATTCCCCTGCGATCTTGTCGCTGAGACATAAATCACACTTTTTAAAGGTCATATAAATTTAGCAAAAAGTAAGTACTGCTTCAAGGCACCAACTAGACAATCGCCTAAGCGAAGACGGTGCATGTGTATAAAAAGCCCTCACTAGCCTGCATCATCTTCGTCTCTTGCCACATTCCCAGTTAATGGAGAAAATGAGGCTTTGAAAGTCGCACAAATGAATTCTCCAAAGAGGGTGTGTCTTTGGTTAAACTGCACAGAATATGACCAGTCGCGACAATGGCACTGCCCTCGCTCAAAACAGGTCCCTTGCAAATGTTGCAATGTACGTGTTCATACTTCTCACTTTGCACATATCCTCTCTAAATCGAGCCCCACAATCTGTAAATGGTGAAAAGAAAAGAAGAAGGAGTCGATTAAAAACACACGCATCACAGTAGTGAAACATTCAACGGGGACGTGGTGTGTCAATTCACCTGACTTCACCCAATCGTAGAAGACCTTCTTATTGGGAAATTGAGAAATTCGAAAACCGCCGGGTTTTGCCTCATAGGCTCTAATCATACCCACTTGAATGGTGTCCACAATATTTGGAACTGCTCCACACTTCTCCATATCAAAGGTGATGGCTGATGCTGGCATTTGGCAGTAGTTTTCACTTCGAACCAACTCCGTGAAGAGAAGTGCTGTTCCGTCTACAAATATACGGCAATTTGCCCACTTATTTACTGCAGGAATTGTAGTTAAATGCCTAGAGGAAGTCACGCCTGTATGAAGGGTTAATTAGGCATAGCTTAGCCCACATTAGCAGCAACTCACACTAATGGAGGTGGTGAGGTGGGGCGGGGAGTACGGAGGGGATAGCAACTTACAGCAACCAATCAGGAGCGGCTTAAGCATAGGAATGATCATAATATCCGAGTTCTCCAAAAAATCCGTCTCCATGAAGCCCTGATCACTGTAGATGAAGCGTCTAGCGTCCGCTTCGTCCGAAAAGTAGAATAATCCCATTCCGAAGTTGAGGAGAGGCTGACTCTCGCAAGGTGGAACACGTTCAGCCTAAAGTAGACGAAATGGATTACAGTGGGAAGAAGCACCTACATCATTGGAGATACCGATGTAGAGGCCTCGATAGCCCTTTTCTAGAACACTGCGAGCTTTGTAGATGGCGTTGCGCAATGTGTAGAGGTCCTGAATCCGAACACGGATAAGAACGAGACAGGGCATCTTGAGGAGTCGGTTTAGGCAAAGCTAGCAGCTGCACCTCACCTTGACTCTTCAAATTGCCAATGGTCGATGCTTACGCGATCGATGGGGTCACGTGGCAGGGGGATGACGAGATTGTCACCACAGGATGTGGATAGCTAAGGTTTGCTTTACTAACTTCCCTAGTTTTAGACAGTTTGACTCGAATTTTACCCATCTACACGCACATTTTCCCAATTTTGACAAGAGTACTGGAAGAACTTTGAATTCAAGTCCCTACGTGGAAAAAATGGTTTTAATACCTGAAGCGTTGTTAAGCTAATGATTTCAGAAACGATCCAAGGTTTGCAATAACAGCTCACCAGAAATGGTTTCTAGGATTCCATTCCTTTCACTAGCAAGGCTATGATTTTGGAGTAAATGCGATTTTTAATAAGTCTGCAAAATATTTTCAAAAATATTGGCACCGACTTAGTAACGCGAGTAAAGAAATTCTGGGATGGATTAAAAAAATGGGGAATCCAGGCATCTGTTGATCTACAAAAAGAAAGAAGCATGCAACTATAAATTAACACAGCTACTAAAAAGTATTTTATCTAGTAAATTGGAGACAAATTTGCCGAAATTATGAATTTTAGTGGGTTTTTTCTAGCCAATAAGCCGAAATGTGTCGTCTAAGTACTTTGCAACATTGAGCAACAAAAGGTTTGATTTGAAAAATTCGAAAATGAAACAATAATTTTGAGCAAGGAACTAGGGGGCCTGCCGTACAAATTTTGTTACTACGATGTGTTTGAGGAATGTTTTTCTTATTACTCCATCACCTGCTGGGTGCTATCGCTTTTAGGGGTCGTAAGCGGATCTGCAAGAACCGTATCCTTTATTTGCCTCGGTGTTCGTTTACCTGGGCTTCGCCAAGTAGTATGGTCATCAGATCTGGCTGCAATTTAGCAATATGTAGTATATATTTGCTTGAGTGTGCCTTTTGAATAAGAAGCATTTGGTAAACATGGACCTCGCTACGGAAAGGGGCGTCATCAAACCCCCAGGAAAAAGTGTATCTTGGACGTACACGCACCTAACTTCTGTTCCTTGCCCCGAATTTGACCAATAAAGAGGCCCTTGGCTAGTCACTACGTTCTTACAACGGGTTTGAAGGAGGAGGGGAAGAGATAAAAATGAATCCTTCGCAAACCTTTTATCTTTTATGTTATTAAGTTCTTTTCGAGCACTAGATAAGACTCCGCAAATGTGACTTTAATTTCTTTTTTTGCTAGCACGTTTATTATATTACTTTTTTTCGCTATCTTAGTGTCGTCAATTTCATTTAATATCACTGAATGTTCGCTTTTACATCTAATAACACTT